GGGGGGAGGTGAGGAGAGGTTGTCAGAAAGGACACACAGAAGAGTTAAAGAGAGAAAAGACAGAGCGGCAGGGGATGAAGACCCCGAGTGGCTGTCAATCAGGGGTGGGGGTGGGCGGGTGTGAGGATGAAGCTGTGGGAACAGTGAGGCAACAGGCTGGGGACAAGGGAGCAAGAAGAGGAGGGAAGACCAGACACGGACAGGTCCCTTCCCATCTCCAGGATGTGCCTACAGCTGACAGGGGGCTCAGGTGCTTCCTGTGTGTCTGGGTCACATGATACTGGGGCCATCCCTGTGGGGACACACTGGAAACACCAGCTCATCACTCTGAGGGGGCTCACACCCCTCTTTCTCCCCGGGTCCAGCAAGGCTCCCTTGTGCCACTGAGGCCCTTATGGAAGTCCCATCCTCCAGGGGCTAAGGCTCTCTGGGGGAGTCTGAGACCCTCACCGCAGCTGCTTCTCTGCCCCGGACCTGGGAGCGGGGCCGAGGCCTCCATCATAGGGGCCAGGAGTTGCATGTGTGAGAGCCGCATTTTCTCCTGTTTACTCTAAACTTCTCTCTTAGACCACCTTTCAGGAGAAACCTTTGTCCCACAGTTGTGGGACAGGGGAAGTCCTTGTTTCATCTTGCAATTATTTGTGGGTGGACTGGTTCCCAGTATACTGGTTTCCCCACCAAGCAACATTCTCTTGGGCAGCTTTTCCCTGGACCACTGGTTCTCAATCCTGGCTGCACATCAGAATAAGCTGGAGAACTTAAAATAATATATTCCTTTGCTGGGTTCCCCCCCCCCAGGCCAATTAAGTCTGCTTCTAGGGGATGCGCCTGGCTCCAGGGGTTTAAACTGCATCCCAGGTGATTCTAATACGCAGCCAAGGATGAGAACCAGTGTTCTAGACCCATACCACCAATATGGTAGCTACTAAGCACAGGTGGCTATCTGAATTACAGTGAAAATTAAATAAAATTAGAAATTCATCTCCTCGGTTGTACTAGCCACATTTCAAGTGACCACTAGACGCACAGACACGAATGGCTAGTGGCTACTAGACTGGACAGAACAGAAGATTTCTATCGTTACAGAAAGTTCTAACAGGCAGGGTTGCCCTAGTCTGCTCCCCGGTTTGTAGGTCAAGAATGTAAATCAACATTCAAATTTGAAGTCTTAACATGACTTCAGGGAACCGTTATTAGTACATCTGCTCCTAAAAATCAAATAATGACCGATGCCCTCTGGGCCCTCCACCACCAAAGGAACTGTTTTGATTTATCCAGGCTTCCTCTACACAGATCTCAGGCTGTTTATTTTGGCTGTTTGGGGTTCTCTCTTCTAATTTTGCTGGTGAGAATCAAACCATGAGGCCTTTGGGATGCTATTTCCCAGTGGAAACCCAAAATGGATGGAAATCTACAACACCCACCTACCCACCTATGCATGCACACTCACGCGCGCACGCACAAATACACACACGCGCGCGCGCGCACACACACACACACACACACACACACACACACTGATTTTGCCCAGGACCTATCCAGCCCTTAGTCTGCCCCACCCCCTCAGGATCTGAGTAGAGCTCTGTCATTGTCTTTCTGCACGCGAGGGTGAACAGGATTCCCAGGCCAAGCCCTCCCCCAGACAGCGAGGCAGCCAAGTCCCCAGAAAGTGCTGTTCCTGCCAGGGCTTCAGCCTAAAGGAATCTCAGGCTGAGGGCTCCTTTCTCACAGGCTCCAGACTCTTCCTCAGCTGCTCCCCCACTCCCCGCCCCCTCTCGGGTGTCTTTAGTGCCAGCCCTCTCCCCCACCTCTCCATAGGATTCACCCCTGGGCTGGCAGACCGTAAAGTGCTTATCATCAGGCAGTGGAAAGTTAAGAAGCCCTACGCATGGGTAAGGCTCCTGGCTTTGGGGCTAGTCCCCAGCTGGGCACCTCCATGGCCAAACCAGCCACCTCTGAGCAGAATCGCACTATGGCCACGGTTAGGGTGGCTCAGAAGGCCGAGTGTTCTCCACATCCTTCCTAGGATACTCCTCTGCAGGCACTCTGCCCAGAGGGAAGCCGTCTTTTGAGTTCTGTCTCTGATTCCTGAATCCCCTCTTCCCTGTCCCCTGCTCCCCTCTTTCACCCTGCAGTGACCCTCAGCCATCTGCCTCCCCACTCAGCCTGGAGGTTTGTCCTGCCATTTCTATAGCGCCCTTGCTTGCGCTGAGACGCTCTACCCAATGTGCCAGCCCTCAAGACCACATCAGGGGTCCGGTCCCTTTCCTCGAGCATTACTCCAGGGTGAAACTGAGCTCACTAGGCCCACCCGAGACCCCGTCATTCTTCCTGCAGATGGACTCATCACATTGGCTATTCCTCAAGGGTCAGTTCCTGCACTCACACCCACCGTCCTGTCCTCACTTCCAGCGGAGGATTCTGCCTGCTGCTTCGGACACGCCTGTGACTGCCCAGGATGAACGCCCTCTTCCCTCTGCCCCATCCCCCTGCTCCCTTGCACCCTTCGTGATTCTTGCCACCTCTGCTTATACTCTTCCTCTTCCAGTCTTCTGACTCGTGTCCTTTGCCGTCGCCTCCGAAACTCTAATCCCTTCCTCAACAATCTCTTCTCTCACATGTTGTGAGTTTCTCCTCTGCACTCGCTCTGTCTACGGTCTCCCTTTCCCTGTATTAATCAACATCCACTTTCCAGTAACTACCTCACCTAACCTCCTGGCAGAAACTGTTTCCTGTGCTCACAGCTGCTTGATGTTTTTTGGGTTTTTTTTTCTTCTTATCACTTTCTGGTCACTGCTCCATCCTTTTAACTGGTTTCAGCCCCACAGTGTGCCAATCTGTCACCCTGCTCATGGATGGCTTCCAATCACAAACCCTATGGCCTTGCTGGCTTCAATTCTGCAGGATCTCAACTCCTTCGCAGCTGGCTCATCCCACCCGAGGCTTGAACCATCAGCTCCATGCATCTGGGACCAGCCCATGTTGATCGAGCTGCCACCATGTGCTAGATGCAGAGTGACACTCGGCTCCTCTCCTGCATTCCCAATGACTTGCTACCCATCTCCACTTGTGTACCCAGCATCCAAACCCACAGCACCAGAAGAGAATCACGGTGAGTGCACCACCCCAAGTCCTTCTCTTCAGGAAGTGCTGAGCCACCTTGGGTTCCTTCCTTCCCATGGCCACAGGGTCACATTCACCAAATCCTGCTGCCTCTGAGCTTTTCTGTTCCTCTCCTGCCATCCGAGCCCTGACTCTCATTGCTTTATGCCCGTTTGCTTTGCACACCCTCTTTCTACTATGGACGAACTACAGCTTTCTGAAATCCAGCTTCTCCCCTGGGACACCGGGTCTTAAGCCCTTTCATTTATTCAAAGACTTTGCTCCGTTAGTTACCTCCTTACTACCAGATATTTGCAAAGCCTGAGGATATGCTCCCATTTTTCTTGTTTTTGTTTCTGTTTTCTTCCAGCTTATTTATTTTGAGAGAGAGCAGGAGAGAGGCAGAGAGAGAGAGGGTGAGAGAGAATCCCAAGCAGGCTCCAGGTCGTCAGCGCAGAGCCCGATGCAGGGCTCAACCCCATGAACTATGAGATCGTGACCTGAGCCAAAATCAAGAGTCAGAGGCCCAACCGACTGAGCCACCCAGATGTCCCTTCTCCCATTTTCAAGGAAACTCTCCTTGGCTCCACATTTTTCTCTAACTCCTATTTCTCTCTGTAGCAAAACACCTCAAAGGAATTGTTCCATTCTTTGCTCTCCCTTCCCAGCCCACGGCAACCAGGCATTCTTCCCCATAATTCTAGTGAAACTGCTCCTGCCAAGGTCCCCGTTGCCAAAATTCAAGTCAATGCTCAGCTCTTATCTTCCTTGACTTTTCTGTTCTCCTTGATCTCAGGACATCACTCTCTTTTGGTTCCCTTGCCTCAGAGGCCAATTCTTTCTTAGTCTGTTTGCTGGTTCCTCCTCGTCTCTCCAATCACTAAACACGGGAGCATTCCAGGGCTCAGCCTCCGGATCCCTTCTCTCTAAATACCTTCTCCCTTCTCCACAGATCTCGTCCATCCCCACAACTTTAAATACCATCTTCAAATTTATACCTCCGACCCGCCCTAGCCTCTGAGCTCCAGACTCATAAATCCCAGCCTACTGGGTATCTCCATCCGGATGCCTCGTAAGCATCCTAAATTATCGTGTCTAAAACAGAAATTTTGGCTTCTGCCCCACACCTGCTTTGCAGCCGTTTCCGCATCTCAGTAAATGGAAGCTCAATTGCTTGGACAAAAATCCTGGTAGTCACCCTCGATTTGTTTCTCTCTCTCTCTCTCACTCGAAATCAAGGCCAGCTGCAAATTCTGTCAGCTCAAACTCCCAAATAAATAGGAGGTGTCCAGTTCTCACCACGTCCACAGCTAGCCCCCTAGCCACCATCACCTGTCTCCTGGTTATCACAACACCCTCCTGGCGGCTCTCCCTGGGCCAGCCCTGTGTCCCCCACAGCTTTCTGTCAACACAGCAGCCAGAGGGATCCTTTAGAACTAAAGTCAGACCAGGTTTAAGCCCTCCAAAGGGCTCTCATCTCTCTTAGAATAAAACCCAGGATCATAACCATGGCCTTCAAGGGCCTAAGTGATCTGGCACCTGCCCTCTGTCTCTGACCTCATCTCTACCATTCTCCACTCCTGCTACAAGGGCCTCCTCCTATTCCTCAACCTCAGGGCCTTTGCACTCACTTGTTTCTCTCCCTACAACACTCTGTGCCAATACCTGCATGGCTTACCCCCTTGCTTTGTTCAGGTTGTCACTCAGATACCATCTTGGCACCAACCCATCATTCCCTTCCAGTAAGTTTTTACCCTGGTTTATTTTTCTTTATAACACACACTGAGCATATCTGCCATGTTAGAGAATTTTTATCGTCTGTTGGCCTCCATGTTCTTGTTTATTGCTCTATCTCTAGCATGGGTAGGAGGTACTCGATAAGTATTTGCAGACTAAATAAATAACTTCCTCCATAACAGCTTTAGTCCTTCTACTGCTTTGTTCCAAACCCTCTGGTAACTTCCCATTGTCTGCTACATAAAGTTCAAGGCCCCCTCGCCACTGCTTACCTCTCCAGCCATCCCTGCCCGCCCCCCCACCCCCCCGCCTCGTCCCTCTTCTGCACAGTCATGTGCTTCTGCTAAACCGGATCTCTGGGTGTGCCCCAAATCTTCTATCATTCATTTCCTACTCTGTGCCTCCCCTACAGCAGCTCTGCCTGTGGTGTTTGCTCTTTTCTCCACCTCCGGTCACCAGCTCGCTTTCTTCAGGACCCACTTTCAGCTTGTACCATCTCCGCGAAGCCTTCCCTGACCACTCCACCCAGAGGAGACCTTTTCCCTTTCATAACAGCTCTTGCCTTGGACAGCCTGGTGCGTTCACGATGGCTGCCTAGAATCTGAGTTATCTGTCTGCTCTGTAGGCTGTGACTCCTGTCATTTCCATCTCTGTAGACCCCCGGGGCGCCATGCTGCACACACAGCAGGTACCCCACAAATGTCTATGGACTGCACAAGTGCTTGCACCCCACCCCGGGGGATGGCTCTGTTTGCCTGATACTCACGTCGATTTCACTGAGAATGACATCGATGATGCTGCCGATGACAATCAAGAAGTCAAACACATTCCAGGGGTCTCCAAAATAGCCCTGGGAAGGACAGCCATGGGAGAACCAGGGGGTGAGCTCTAGGGGGAAGGAGTTTTGGTGGCCAGCAGAAGGTGATGGTCCCCGTCCAAGGTAATGCAGAATGGCCAAGCCAGGCCAAGGTGGGGTGCGCGTGGCCCCACTTTCCACTAGTGCTCCTGCGTGCCCACCCACTCCAGTACCCCTCTCCCTTGGGCTCTGTAGTTCCCTTCCTCCAGAGCATAAGGTGGTCAGAGAGGAGGGACGGAATGGTTGAGAACTCAGGATCTGGGATCCTGATCCGGATGGGGAACTCCTTCATCCTCCCCAGCTTTGAAGCCCTGTCTGGAGCTTGCTAGTGCAGACCTTTCAGAGTGTGGCTGGGCTTGGCTGGGCTTGGCCAGGTGGGAGTGGGACTGGGGAACCAAAGACACAGCGAGATACTCCCCCTTCAGGAGCCTAAGGGCAGGCAGGGAACATAAGGCAGGTTCAACAAAGGGCTTGGGGAAGAGGCAGCCAACATCTGTCCGGTCATCAGCCAGTTCTGGCAGCCTGAATACCTTGCATGCCTTGTGCCTTGTGTCTAAAGGTGGAAGTAAGCAAAGGGGTGAGCAGGGCGGGACCAGAAGTGCTGGATGAAGGGGCTTTCAGTAGAATGACACTGGGGTGGGGGCGCACGAGAAGTGACCTGTCCTGTCAGGTGCCATCTGCTCATCTTGTCCTGTGCCCCAGCACTCACCCTGGCCTTGAACGCCATGAGCTTGAGGACCATCTCCAGGGTGAAGATGATGGTGAAGGCCACGTTGAGGATGTCTGAGATGTGGTTCATCTCCTCTGACTGGTTGTAGTGCTGTGGAGAGGCACAGGAGAGGGGGCTGGAAGGGCCCAGTGGCTCTACCCCGCAGGTTGCATCCCAGAGCCCCATTCTCTTCCCAGGCAGCTCCCAAACCTCTTCCTCAGGCTTCCTGCCCACTTTTTTGAAATCTCCAAAAACCAGGTGCCTGTTTTGGCAATCCCCACCAAGTCTAATGGATCCCCCTCTCCCCAAAGAGACAGCAAGAGGAGGAGGAGAGGTCTGGCTGAGCAGGCTGGTCTACACATGGGACTGCAAGGTCAGAGCTTATTTCCAGATCTGTTATGGGATGACTAGGGGGGGAGGCCCCTCAGCAGGACTCTGTGACAGGTTCCATCTAGTCATCTGGGCACAGAACTAGGAGAGAAGAATGCTGATTCCAGAGCTGGCATTATCACCAGCTACAGGTGTACAGGTGGGCCACCGAGCTCACCAGGCCTGACACTCGTGCACACTGTCCCCTGGATGGTGAAGCAGTCAGAGCAATAACCTTAGCCCCCTTGACCCAGCACTGTGATGCTCCTTAATTCTGTTTCCTTATATAACCTGCCAGGAACCTCGTGGTATTTTTGGAAAGTCGATGAACTCCCGCTTCTTCCATAAAACCTCCCCAGGTAGTTCAGAAGGATCTGGGGGCTGCCCCCACCCCACCCTGTCTTAGCCGGACTGCCTAATTCTGCTGCCCAGCTCAGCCCAAACTTAAGCCATTGCTCACGATCCTCTGTATGACCTGGCCCTGCTGGCCCAGCGACTCACTTTCCATGTCCTCATCACCTGGCAATGCGGAGTCCTGTTGTTGGATGTGTCTGCCTAGGGCCAGGAAGCCTAGCTGTGCAATTCTATTTATACGGGGCTTAAGGGATCTGATGCTTAATTAAGGTTTGCTAACGATGCTGCTGATTGTGATATTGTCTATAAAGTATGCTCAACTCCTAAGAGACACCTGTTCTGTGAATATCAAAGCCATTTTTCTTGAGACTGCAGCCAAGATTCCAGCCAACTCAATCATGCAGATTTGCAACAGCCGAAGATAAACTGAGACGGCACTTCCTACTTCCCACGCTGCCGTGTGCTTCTGCACAGCTATCTCCTGTTTGCAGATTTGTGCAGCTATTTGTACGTCTGAATGCCTTCTTAATAAACTACTGGGTGCCTGGCAACCAGGCCTGGGCCCAGGGAACTTCTCTCTCCCCCGCAGTACCTCACCGCACGGTGCCTGGCACATAGCAGGTGCCAGGCAAAGTATATTGGGGGAAGGAGACGGGAACCTTGCCCCGCCCACCTGCCCTGCCCCTGGCCCCAGTCCATCCGGCCCTTATCTCCTGGGGGCGCCCTTACCTGCATGCCCAGGCAGATGGTGTTGAGCATGATGAGGGCAAACATCAGGTACTCAAAGTAGGAGGAGGTGACGACATACCACACCTGGTACTGGTATGGGTTTTTGGGGATGTAGCACCTCAGCGGGCGGGCCTTCAGGGCATATTGCACACACTGGCGCTGAGACACAACACCACAGGGCAGGTCAGCACTGACGGCCCCTCCCTTGCTCTCACACTCACATGCATGGGCTGGAGGGAACCCTGCATTCTGGTCAGCCAGGAGCAGCCGTGGCCAGGAACTCGTGGCTGACGGGCTCTGCGGGACTGTTTAGGGGACGAGTCCCAGTGGGCCTGTGGGTTCCCCTTGAGTTATCCCGGCCCATTTCTAACATGGCTCTAGCCCCACCCAGGGGCTCTGAAGGACTAGCCTTCTCTGGGCATCACGAGGGTTCCACAAGAAGACTCCCACAGCACCAACTTGTATTGCTTCATGTTGGGGATGGGTTGGGAATGGGGTAGAGTGTATGCAGGCTGGGTCTGGACACGAAATGGAGGTTCTGGGGTCAACCCCAGGCCCAGGACTCTTCACTGGTCAGAGCCTAGGGCTCAGGCTGGCAGGAGGCCTGCTGAGTCCGCTCTCCACCTCAGCCCAGGCACCTGGTTTTTGTCCAGTTCACAGTTCTTGTACTCAGTCTCCCCCTGCTCCTGGAAGGTGACAATAACGAAGCCCACAAAGATGTTCATCATGAAGAAGGCAATGAGGATGATGTAGATGATGAAGAAGATGGCCATCTCCACTCGGTTGTTGTAGACGGGGCCTGTGTCTTCCTTGTATGAGTCTATGGCCTGGTAAAGCAGCCTTGGGGTAGACAGAGAAGAGACTGGTTGGACAGGGGTGATGAGGCAGAGAGCCAGGCCAGGAAGGACAGGCTTTCTCTCACTGGCCACAGGGACCCGAGGGAGCTTTCTGAACGATCAAGCACCAGAAGGGAAGTAAGGACCATGCCAGAAAAGACTGGGACAGGTCCTGGAAAGGGCCTGCCTTTCCGTGGGATGCCCCATCTACCCTAATCAATCAGTAGGGCTCCCCACATGGTCACAGAGGCCTACACCTGTTGGGGGACTGGGACATTCTGTCAGAGTGCCCAGGTCAGGATGTCTTTAGGGTGGCCGGTCAACACACTGGTCCCACACACCCTCCCAGCTGGTGGGTTTGTTGAGCGCTTACCGCGGGCCTGGCACGGAGTGGTGAGGGCTGCGGAAGGGCAAGATGGCTCCCTGGCACTGCCCCCACCATGCCCGCATTGGACCCAGGCCCCAGCCCTCACTCACTGAGGCCATCCCTCAAAGGTGGAGACCGTGAAGAGTGACATCATGGCCGAGAGCACGTTGTCGAAATGGAAGTCGCTGTGTATCCACTGGCGGGGGCGCAGCTCCATCTGGGTGGGGTCCCCATCCTTGTACACATAGTAATAGCCCCTGGGGTGGGAGGCTCAGTCACTCCACCGTGCATGGCTGGGCTGCCCCCTCTCCACCCACATCCTCTGATCCCCTGTAGACTGGGGACCAGAGGGGACACTGCTGGGCACTCCCTCACCACAGTTTCCCAAGGAAGGACCCTTTAGAACACGCTTCCTGGGCCTAGGGGCTTAGGTTCCCCAGGTCCCCCTCGCACAAGGTCCCCCACGCAGTGGCTGTCCCACCTCGTGCCCTCAGCCAGCAGAGTTCAGCCCACCTGCACTCCTTCTCTGTCATCTTGGATAAGTCATTGCAGCTGAAGAACTTCCCCTGTGTCAAGAAGAGGGAGGGAGAGACACACATTGTCATGGAAACAAGATTGAAAACTGGGCTACGGAAGTGAATAGTGGCAGGGCATGTGGAAAGAGGGCCCCAGCACTGTCTTCCTCCTTCACCATCATCCCTTCCCTCAGCTGCCCTGTGGGCTTCCCTACCAGGCCCGAGGCTGTCACGGCTGAGAGGCCAGTTCCTGAACAGGCTGGGCCTGAGGGGAAGGAAAGATGGATACAGCTTGGCCCTGCCCCTCCCTCAGGGAGCCCCCTGCCCCCCATTGCTACGGGAAGCCCTCTTGAGGTCTCCCCATGACAGACCAAGAAGGGCTGCCCCCCCCCTTCCTTCTCCTTCCAGTGGGGCGGCCACAGGGCACACAGGGCACAGTAAGAGTTGCAGGGACGGAGCCCAACCGGGTCTTGAGGGCGCAAATCATCTCAAAGTGGAACGGGGGTCCTGCACCCCCACTCAGAGGCCTGAAGAGGCGGGCACTGTGCCCCCCTGTGCTGATTACAGTCAGAGCAGTTTCCCTTTTTGTCTACATCACAGACTGGTCACCCACAGAAGAGTCTGTGTGAAGAAAAGGAGTGATCGCCAGGCCCGAATGGAGCTACATGAAGCCTGAAGTTCACGGCATCTGGTCGAGTCCCCTCAGAGGCCCAGAGAAAGAGCTGCCTCAGCCAAGGATATGGGACTGGCTGATGGCTCAGAGGCCCTGCCCGCTGCAGGGTTTTGCTGTTCCAGCCACACCCCCCTTTACGGTTGCCAGAGCGGAGGGGTGAAGGGGAGGCAGGTGACACTGGGGGAGAAGCAGGGAGAGGACACAGCTGTCACTGGGCAGGTTTCTGGGCACTTGAAACAAAACACCCAATTTAATATAGGAAGCAAACTCTTGATGTAATGTGGAATGTATGCGAAGTTTCCACAGGGTAAAACGTGGGGTAAGATGCCACTTGTAACTGATGTCTGGGCATTATCTGAGTGGGCAGGAGCTGGGGGTCCTTTGATGAGAGACTACAGCACAGGGGTCGGGGCAGGGATCTGGGGGTTGAGGGACAGCTGCTCTTGCCTGGAAGGCACACAGGAGCCAGAGGAGGGGGCCGCTCATTCATTCCTCCAGGGAACGTGTCTTGTGGGCCGCCTATATGCCAGGCCCAGGCTGGGTGCCAGGGTCAGGGAGGAGTGAGACATACACCCAGCGCCCCTGGTAGAGGAGGGGGCAGGGCTCGAGGGGAGGGGCAGCCCTCTGCTGGAACTAGGAGGGGAAGGTCACATGCCAATCATGGTAACTGAGGTTTGAAGGCTAAGCTGTCTCAGTCTGGATGCGGTTTCCAAGGGGATGCCTCCACCCCTCCAGGACAGTAACCAACAGGACCCATCTCCCTTAAGGTCATCAGGGAACCCCACCTTGACTGCTCTCCCCCCAAACCTGTTCCCTGCCCACAGGGAGGGATTTGTGGGGTTTGCTTCATGACCCCCTCTCGGCCTTAACCGAGACGCCGGCCCGGAGAAAAATGCTCCACAAATGCTGTCGAATGAATGAATGACGGTACGATGATGTCATTGCCCAAGTCTGACTGAAGTTACGTCATCATGGTTTTCATGCTTCGGGGGACAGGAGCGGTTTGGGTCATGAAAGGAAATGTCAGGGTGTTGGAGCACTCAGATACCAATTTCTGTGTCCTGCAGATGGTATGAAAGGCAGAGGCATCCAGAAACCAGCTCGGTGGAAGGGGAGCCTTGTGGGGCTGATTCCTAGAGAGGAACTGCATAGCTGTGTCCTCCCAGGAAAGTGAGGACAGAACGAGGCGGCTCCCAGGGTAGAATGATGGCCTCCCTCCCTCAGAAGCTCCTGGTAGATATGAATGATGCCAGCCACACCGGCCAGAAGCATGGGGTGCTGAAGTCCAGCTGACGGAAGAAGGTGGAGTGGATGGGGGCTAGAGCTGGGGGGCATGTTTTAGACAGGCCTGGCAGGATGGGAGGGGTGGGGGAGGTTGATAACGGGGAGGGGTGCTGACAGGGTCCGGCAGGTAGGGGAGAGGGCTTGGTCCTCAAGGAGAAGCCACGGAGAGCCAGGAAGACAGCAGGTGCAACGGTCATGGTGGCCAGCAGAGCCACTGGGGCCAGGAAGGGGCATCGCCTAGGAAACCTCATCCAGACTCCAGGTAGCTTAGCCTCACAACTCTGTGCACTCGAGGACATCTGCTTTCACAGTCTGGGGCTCCCTTTGCTTAGAGGGTGGGGAACGGGCTGGCTCTTGCCTTGGCCTCAGAGCTGGCACCAGAGCTGCGGAAGGGGGGGGGGGGCAAAGCTGCCCGGGCAGGTGGGGCTCACCTTGAAAAGCTGGACGCCGATGCAGGCAAACATGAACTGCAGGAGGGTGGTGACGAGGACGATGTTCCCGATTGTGCGGATGGCCACAAACACACACTGCACCACGTGCTGGGGAGGGACACCAGGTCGGCCACATCCCGCCCTTGCTATCCCCTGCTGCCTCCCAGCTGGGTGGGGGCAGAGGGAGCTTCGTGGGGAAGCATGGCCACCCAGCCTCACCCCTACCCCCGTTTGGCAAAGGGGGTGCAACACGCGCCCCAGCAACGGCTGGGCGGAGGTTTCCAGGATCAGGCCCTTGCAGCCTCTCTTTTCCTGCTCCTGGGGTCCCACCCAGGCCCTCTCACCTTCAGCCCCTTGGCTCTGTTGATGGCCCGCAGGGGCCGGAGCACCCTCAGCACCCTCAGGATTTTCACCACGGAGATGGTGCTGGACCTGGGGGAGGCGGCGGGGGGTGGGGGGTGAGGGCAGCCTGCTCCAGCCCTCCACCTGCCCCCGGCCTCCAGTCCTCCACATCTGCCATCTTTCTGTCTGAACACACTCCCCTCGTTCCCCACCCTTCCCTTAGGCTGCGCGAGGACCCCACCCCCGGATAAAGCCGCCTCCTGCCCGGTGGTGCAGCACAGTAAGGGATTCCTCCATGGGTGGCTACAGGCTCTGTCTCTCTCATCAGACTGGGGGCGACCCAGAGGTAGGGACTGCAGCCCCTCCTGCTAAGCACTGTCACTTCAGTCCCGTTGGTGACACCCTAGGGGACCCTGGACCCCCATCAATGGCCCTGAGAATCCCTCTCCTTGCAACTTGGTGCCCACCAACGAACAGTGGGTGGGACTCTGCTCTGAGGAGGGGTCCTCGCCCGGGGCTGGCCCCTGCCACTGCTCACTCGAGTCCCATGGAGATGAGGGACACGGCCACCACCAGCAGGTCCAGGATGTTGAAGTAGTTGCGGCAGAAGGAGCCCTTGTGCAGGAAGGCACCGTAGGTCGTCATCTGTGGGGAAAGCCAGCATCCTGGGTGGGTGGGGGCGGTGGGGAGCTTGGGGACGGGCGTGTCCCCACAAAGAAGGGCTTCCCGAGGGAAGATCTGCCTCAGTCTGCAGAGGCAGATGGCTGCCAGGAGGTCTCTACCCTTCACTCCACTCCTTGCTGTGTCCTTAGTGCTTTTTCTCCCATTCTCTGCTCCCAGTTCTGGAAACATGAGGACTTCTCATGGGCAGCTCCACCAGACTTTGCTCTCTGAGCTTGTCTCTTTGGTCAGATGCCATAGGGCGCCCCAGTCTCCTTCCCCACGGGGCCACAGAGTGGGGAAGCCCTGGCCCTTCTCTCCCCTGTGGAACATGATAAAATTCCTCTTCCTCCTCTCTGGGAAGCTTCTTCAGAAGTAACCTCTGCCCTGAGGATTGCTGAGTGAGGCTGAACAGCCCCTTTAGGACTGGAAGACCTTCACCAGGCCCGGACCCCTGTCCCTTCCCCATTGTCCCACCTTCTCGCTGTTCCTTCAGCTTCTTCCGTGTACTCTGTGATGATCTCCCAGGCCCTTTGTGCAAACATGCTATGCCCTTGAAGTCTGATGAGCCTGAAGCCTTTCCTGGCATTCAAGGTGATTTCTTCTCAACTCGCCTTCCCAGGCTCTGTTTTCTGTGCTATATCCCAGCCCAAAAGGACCACTTTCTCCTCTCTGAGCACGTCTGAACCACCTTCTCATAATGCGTTTGCCATTTTCTGTCCTCCTGGACTGCCCCTGCTATCCCTCCCTAATGAAGTCCTGGCCACCTCTAATGCCACCACCTCCAGGAAGCCCTCTTGGACCTCAGGGAAGTCACCGTCCCTCTGCTCAACTGCTTTAGTAGTCAAAGGCCTTGAAATAAAGAACTGTCCTGATTTCAGGTTGCAGCCTGCTCTGGGCTATTCCTTCTGCAAAGCTCGCCTCTCCCTTCTTCTTTCATGAACGTGAAGGCTGGGGCTACTGGGCCCTAGATGGGCCCTCCCTCTGCCTCTGAGACCCTCCACGGTGATGGTGTGAACCCAGCGTACCTGCTGTGATGTGCTGTGGGTAAGGAAGGGGGAGCTACGATGGGACAGAGCTGCCAGAAACCCATCTGGGGCAAAGGTCACTTCTCTGGGGATTCCTGGGAGACGCCTTTTAGTCATCGGTAACAAAGGTCTCGGAACAAATCACGGCTCCCTGGGTCTAAGGCTAACTGTGCCTTCACTATGGAGGAGGAATGCCCGAGGCTTTATAGACGCGGACGTGCTCACTGAGCTGTGCTGAGACGTGCTCAGCTGCAGGTTGGTCGTACTTCATGTCCCCACCCATGCACCTGCTCACCTCCTTGCCCCAGCTTACGAGCAGAAACCCCATCTGCTCCTGGGTCCCGCGAGTCCCTCCCTGGTGTTCTCCACTTTCTTCTTGCTTTTCCCTCACCCCTGCCACCCAGCCTGTGAGCGAGTGCCGGGTGTGTAAGTTGGAGCCACGTGAGGTCTGCTATCCTGGCCTGGAGACACCACTCACCCAGGCTGTCCCACAAGCCTTCCCTCACCTTGAGGACAATCTCCACGGTGAAGACAGAGGTGAACGCAATGTCGAAATACCCAAGGATCTGGTGACAGGGCAGGGGAGAGAGAAGTCGGTGAGAGGAAGAACCGAACAATGACATCATCATTGTCACCACCATCACTATCATCATTAAAACTAGGCAACAAGAGCCTGTCACGCCACACGCTGAGACCGTTCAGGACCGGACCGGGCAGTCTTACCCCTCCAGGGATTTAAACTCTAAGAAACTCTGATGCCTATGGCCACACGGAGCCTACAGCTGAGCTCTGAGCCCCAGAGTGAGGTGTCCGGGTGGCTGAGGCCTGGGGTAGGGAGGGGTGCTGAGCTGGCAGAAGGCACAGGCCTGCCATCACCTGATTCCTCACGGACTCGGCCCGGATGGGGTCCTCGGCGGCCAGTGCGGCACTGCTGAGCAGGATGAAAAGGAGGATGAAGTTGGTGAACCAGGTAGCGTTGACAATGCGATGACACAAGACACGGATCCTGGGGGAAGATGGCCAGGGGGCCAGGGGAGCTGTGAGCCCCTGGGCACTCGGGCCTCACCAGCCTCGGTCCCACACACAGACGGTGGAACCCTCCCTCCCGGCTCGGTGGAGAAGGCTAGCCCGCACCTCAACTGTCCTCTGGCTGGACACGCAGGGGCCCTGCCCCTCATTCTCTCAGCGCGGCCCTACCCCCCTCTCCCACCACCCGTCCCCTCCCCCAGTACTCCTCCACCACCCTCTGGTTTCCCCCAAAAAGAATGGACCCGGCCGATCTCCATCCACGAAGCAGACAGATGAAACTCCCTGAAGACTACAGGCGACGTAGACTTTAAAGGTATAAAAGTGTGAAGGCAGGAAGAAATACGGCCTCACCAGGTTCTCATCCCCTCGTCCTGGCTAAAATTGCCCTCAGAAGGGAACTAAAATATACAGTCCCTCCTAGGGGGACTGTATGAGAGTCATTTTCTCATAGTGTAACTGTAGGCCCAAAGAATCAGGAAAAGGGGCCTTTTTAGAGCAGAAGCCATCCCTCTTCGAGAGCCCCATCAACCACCCTGCACAGCAGCCAAGAGACCACCCACTTGTTGGTGGGGCTGAAAATGAAGAAGGAGCTGGCTTCTGGGATGGGCACTGCCTTCTCTTTGAGCTGCAGCTCAGCCAGCGGGCGTGGTCGGGGGCTCACTGGGATCTCGGGCTCATCTTCCTCATCATCTCCTGTCGGGGAGGGAGAGAGAGACAACGGGGGCGTCTTTATAAACCTGACTGCTCCCCCAGGTCTCTGTGCTCCGAATCCAACCACGAACCCCCAGCAACCAGCAAGCGAAGGTGGTAGCAGGCCAAGGCAGGGCACGAGGACATCAGCAGAGTCCTGTCTTCATACCTCCCTTTCCCCTCAGGGAACAGATTTGAACCGTCAGGGGAAAATGGCAGTCCCAGAACCTTCCAGAAGTGGGGCCAGGAGCAAAGTCAAGGAGCATTGCTGTCTCATCTGCTGTCTCAGGGCTGGACTCACACCATCCCAAGTGCTCACAGCTGGGAGACTGGGGGGTTGGGGGGGGTGGTCTCTACTTCTGATGAGACCTGAGCTGTGGTCCAGGCTCTGCCCCTGACTTGCTGTGCATGCTAGTTACGTTTCTGTCCTTCCTGGGCTTCGGGTCCCCAATTTGTGAAATCGATCAGGGGAAGGAAGCTTGTTGAAATAAACAGGCTCTGAGCTCCTCTCCTGGGTTAGAATTCTAAAAATGATCATTTCAGAGAGAAACTGCCAGCATGGGAAAAAAAGTCAATATTCCTTGAGCCTCGGCCAGTCCTCAGCACCGAGGCAGATACCGGGGTGGGAGGGATCGAAGAGGAAGACATAGGCCCTCTAGGTTCACTTGCTAGGTCCCATGGCTTCATGAGACAGCTGACTACCTGAGGTCCTCAGCTGGGCTTAGCAGGGGGAGCCAAGGTTCCAGTGATCAGACTGGGGGCACTGTCCAAAGTTGGGCTGTCCCTCTGTTGGGCTCTGTGCTGACAGCTCAGAGGCTGAAGCCCGTTTCAGATTCTGTGTCTCCCTCGTTCTCTGCCCCTCCCCTACTTGTGATCTGTCTCTGTCTCTCAAAAATAAACACTTAAAAACATTTAAAAAATGGGGCGGGGGGACCTGGGTGGCTCAGTTGGTTAAGCATCCCACTTAAGCTCAGGTCATGATCTTACGGTTCGTGAGTTTGAGCCCTGCGTCGGGCTCTGTGCTGACAACTCGGAGCCTGGAGGCTGCTTCCGATTCTGTGTCTCCCTCGCTCCCTGCCCCTCCCCTGCTCATGCTCTGTCTCTGTCTCTCTCTCAAAAATAAATTAACATTAAAAAAATTTTTTTTTGAAAATTGGGGTGTCCCTCGATATGCAGGTCTTTCCCAGTCCCTTGTTTCCCTCACCCCATCGCCACCTCATCCTTACCCCTGCTGGCCCCTGGCAGAGCCCCTTGGGGAAGCCAAGAAAGAACCACTAGATTCTTCTCTCTCCATTGTGGCAGCCTGCACAGGCTCGCAGCTCCACCAGAAACCCCCCTTTCTCCCTTCTTATAATGAGAAAGTGTTAATTCTTAGAACTAATATATTTGCTTTCTTTTTTCCTTTGTCTATGCCCATTTTGTTAACTTCATTTTGTCCTAAGCCCTTTCAAATCGTCTTTGGAAAGAAGCAGAATAAATGTATTCAACCTCTTTGGTAAGAGCTCTCTTCCAAATGCTCACCCCACCTCCCCTCTACCGTCTACCCTCCCCCCTTCTTTCCAACCCTGTTCCCTTTCCTTAACCTCTGATTTCCTAAGTCAGTCATCTCCCCTGCACACCAGCCACTCCCACCTGCTAGGTGATGGTTGTTAGATGAAACGGCTCAAGATGAATTATTTTAAAACCCAACTATTCACTTCTGGCAGACATTTGAAGAGATATGATTAGCCCTGTCTTGATCAGCTCCATTCTCCCCACACATCACTTAGCAAAATTCTTTCATGTGTTCACTTACTCTATTTATTGAGTGTCTACTCTGTGCCATTTGGAGCACAAAAAGTCCCCCCCCCCCCCCCCCCCCGGAGCCCAGAGTCACTGGGGCAAACAGACGCTAATCAGCTGATTCCACAATTTCCTGAAACTGCACCAGTGACTCAGTGCTCCAAGGACCTGTGAGCGAGCTGAGAGAGGACCTCAGAGCTTTTGGCCTCCAGGGCTCTGCCAGGTGCCCTCTGTGAACCTATGTGTTCCCGCCTGCAGTAGCCACTGGTTACTTACATTTGTGAGACGTTTATAGTTTGTCTGTGGCTGAGCATTACACTCCTGCCCACCCTACGCTTGCCTCCTTCATTTCAATTCTCCCCACAGTGCAAGCCATGGTTCTGTTTATTCCTGTACCAGTCCAGCCCCAGCCCTGCTGGATGCTGGGTGGGGAGTAACCTGCCCATCTCCGACACCACAGACAGACAGGTCCTCATCAATGGTCTACTCTGTGTGGCCAGAGCGGAAAACTTGAAAACGGGAGTCCTCAGTACCGAAGTATGTGACTGGCACTCAATAAATACTAGCTGAATTGAATGCAAATAGAATGTGTGGATTTTTTCCATTGTGTGCACTGGACACGAGGCAGGCGGGGCAGACAGCTTATTTGCATGACTAGGTCAGAAGGGAGGTCTCTGTCTTGCGATCCCCTCATGGAAGGATCCAGGAAGGGGACACCCAAGAGATCGTCCCGGGGAGAAATCAACACCAGCATACACCTCCAGTAGTCCCAGGACCCTCACCTGGGAAGTCAGCTGAGGGGTAGGGATCCTTCACTTCATTGACATTAGATTCAAATTCATCGATTTTCAGCTATAGGAAGGAACACAGCAAAGATGAGAATAAAAGCAAAAGCTGCAGTTTCTGCCTACTGAGCATTTACTGGAGGGTCAGTGTAGGTTCCTGCTCGGTCCTCCTTACAGCCTGGGGGATAGGTCGTATAGGATCATTCCTTTTTTATGAATGAGAAGCCAAGCCTAGAAAGGTCACACAAGTTGCCAAGACCTCAGACTGTCTGAGCCCGTGCACGGCATCCCCTGTTTCGTTCCCTGGGGCCCAATTCTCCAACCCTTGCACCTCTGCTTCCACCATTTCCAGAAAGTTTGAGCAGAGCCAGGCTGGAACAAGCAGGAAGTGATGGGAAGCCAGTCTGGGTCTCTCAATGGAACAGGGGTGTCAAGTCGGGAGGGGGACGCCTTGACTGGGGTGGGAACCCGGGACTCTGAGGAAGTCTGGTTCCCAGAGTGGGGCATCTGTGCCTCTCAGTATAAAGGATTCCTTGTGGGAGGGTAGCGATTTACTCTCCCCCCCAGTAGAGTGGAGACAGATGTCCTCACCTGGCTGATAACCAGGCAGATAGCCCCTTTCCACATTCCTACCCACCCACCAGCACCCTAAGTCATGGAGGTGAAACCAGAGGACTTGTAGAGTCCCTCCCCATCCTGCCTCTGAAGATACCCCACACGATGCTCACCTTGGCGGTGGTAGGGATGCCTTCACCCTTGGGTTTCTGTTCCAGCTTCTTGGCCATCACTGACTTCTCTTCCTCTGACTTATCTGGAAGACCCCTAAGTTAAAAAGAAAGAAAGAAAGAAAGAAAGAAAGAAAGAAA